TGTTTGCTAGAAATTTTCAAAGTTACGAGTTAAAATTGAATAAGGCAAAATGTCAATAAAACACACTTTATTAAAACCACTTTAAAATTTAAAATTCAAGACAAAATTAAGCATTTCAGATTTTCCCTTGTATTTACATTGTGCAATATATATGAAGTGCTTCATTTAGCAAACAAGACAAAAAACAAACTTTAAATACTCAATTCTAACCGAAATCAAATATTTAAAAAGTTGAACTTCAGTCGCAAGCTTCAATAAAATTAAGATCCTGGAGTAGACATAATCGTCCTGCAATCATGCTTCCTTCAGACTTGGAAATACACAAGAATCAACACAATTTTTAAAGCACACACTAACTTAACACCGAAATACAGCTTGAAGATATATTTAAAAACACTTCTGTTGGTTATCAAAAGTTTTAAAACCTCTTGCCGAATGATTGTGAGGTAATTTCTTCACCGGTTGTAGACCATCTTGTAGTAGGCGATAAGTCTGAAGACGAAGAAGAAACCTTTAACTACCAAATTCTAGCAAACTTTTTAAAAACATAGAACTTCAATCAGAAGGTTCAATAAAATTTATGGTTCTGGAGTGAAAATATGATCGTCCAGCAATCAATGCTTCCTCAAAATATTGAAATACATAAAAACACAATTTTTAAATCACACACTAGCTTAATACCAAAACATAGCTTGAAGTTATGTTTAAAAACTACTTCTGTTGGCTATCACAGGGTTCAAAACCTCTTGCCGAGCGATGGTGAGGGAATTTCTTCACCGGTTGTAGACCATCTTGTAGTAGAGCACGTAATAGGCGATGAGTCTGAAGACGAAGAAGAAACCCCAGAGGGCAGAGTAGTCGACGTACAGGTTGCCCCCCAACATGTCCATTTCCTTGAGGAAGTCGCGGGGCTCTTGGAAAGGGCAGAAAATCTTGTCGCACTGCAGCTCTGGACGGGACATCCCGTAGATGGCCAGCAGCACGCTCTGGTAGGAGTAGCGGATGTAGGAGATGTGCGAGAGCCACTGGAGGTAGGGCGGTATGGTTTCCAGGCTGATAAAAAGCCGCTGAACAGCAGGATGGGGATGGACACCACGGGGGCCAGGAACACGGCGTTCTAAAGAAGAAAGCATTGAAGAAGGTTTGGTTTGTCGCTGTAAGACCATTTTTTTGTACATTTAGGCTAATTAGACCAGAACCTACAGTTTAACGTGGATTCCTAACCGCTCACAAATATTCATGCCACAAACCAGGATTCGAAACTGAAGCCTGTGGTACCAAAGAGCAGAGTGCTAGCCAATTGGCCATCAGACTGCTAACGAGTCAGTGAGGGTTGTGACTACAGAAATTTATTAAAAAAATTTTCCAATAGTTGATCCTATTCATACACTAACTTCCTTTTACTTTAACATAAGAACCATTTTCATTAAGATTTATAACATGGATATTTATTTTTATGTGACGCAGACAGGTGGTAGCTGCACCAAATTATTAAATAGTTTCACTTTTATAACTCCATATGATCATCAACGCAGTATTTCATACAGTACCATCGATACTTACACAAGAATGAATAAACATCGTAAAAGATCACGGCCAGAGCTCTAGCCAATTGGTATCGATAACTGAACGCTTTGTTTCCGAAATTCGCCAATGTACCATGCGATTGACACAAAAATCTCGCGCAAAGTCTCCTCCCACTAAGATTTCCCACTCCCTATAAATAAAACCCATTCAATGAAGTAACGTATCGATTTTTTTCTACGTAGACGAGAATTTTGAACAGATGAAAATTACTGAAAATATTTTTTTTAAAGTAAAAAGGAAATGGAAGTTTAAATACAATGCATTTAAACGTCCAATACATTTTCCTTTTACGATGTTTTTTTTATTTTTTTTATTTCTGCATTTTCTAGAACTTCCAATATAAAAACCTCAATGTTTAAAATTTGCGATATCTTAACATGGGCCACATGTAATTAGTGTTTCGGGCAGCTTTTAATCTCTGCAACTACATGCCCTCTGCAGTTAGTTTTCCTACTCGATGACCATGAGACGTTACGATAATTTCGTAGTTTTATTTCTACGTCATTTAAATGCAGAAGAACGTTAAGAAAATTTGAATTCCAATTGATTTATGAAGGCCTTCGCGATAAAAAAGTTTTGCGATAAAAAAAAAATAAAGGTAGTTGTGCCTAATTCGTTTGATTTTTTAATATAATTACGTGGCACTAATTTTGGTTTAATCATGTTGGAATCTAATAGTTGGATTAAGAAAGTTCAAATGGAAAATTCATTCCAATAAGAACAAACCCATATTATCTCCCAATAAGAATTGTTCATATTTAAATTATTAAATTCATCGCATAAAAATGTAATGCATGTGCCATTAATGCCGCATGTAAGAATATAAAATTCCTCGTTAACATAAAATTTTAGTCAATTTTAATTTCCGCATGTAATTACCGAAGCTTTTTCAGCTAGCTTCTATACATGCTGCGCCTGCCCATAAAACAGTCAATCACAATATAACGCTGAACTGATGAGTTATTCGAGATTCCTTTTTCGACAGACGCTTTTGCATATGGCCTAATTTTTAGTAGATAACGTACTTCTTTCAAGTACTTTTCTGAAGAACTCTGGTAAAGATCTCTACCTTCCCAAATCTCTTGTGTATCGCCCAATCTACCAGGCTACACATTTCATTTCTCTTTTCCCCCTTCTTGGGAATTTGTTTCTGGTTAGACATCGCTCCTTTTTAATATACTTTATTAAATGAAATATGCTTCTCTCGATTTTGTTAATACAGAAAGAAAAAATCAGAACTTGCCTGTACACTTGTCGCTGCCCCAATGAGTAGTCCTACGGATTGCGCCACCAGGGAGATCATAATGGAGGAGACCACGAAAAGCCCAAATCGCACCAGGTCGTTGGGTTGGGACGTCATCCAATAGACGATGCTGCAGTAGATCACGGGGAACAGGATCTGGAAGAAAAATAGAGCATTAAGTTAGTAGAAAGCACCCGATTGGCGTTTGATGAATACATGAATGTAGAGGTTGTAGAGTCAAGCAGTCTTGCTGGGTCTATTAGAAACTTTGAACACTTTAGTTAAACATTTGCCAAGTGCTATTGTTTATTCTTAAAATATTTTATGTTAAGATTGAAAGATTTATATTATAAAGAAAAACATGAATATGCATTTACCCAAGACATTTAATGAGTTTAAAAGTTACCAATTTGAGAAATTATCTAAAGTTACGATTTATTCTGCACGCACATGGTGTTTCACTGCATATGAAGTATACATGAATTCTAACTTAAGAATGAAATACCGGTTCAATATGCTAATTTTATTTCGATGGCATCGAACATTTGGGTTTCATTTAAGTTACCTTTGGGGATTAAAATTGTGAACGAATATTCTAATAACTCATTTTATTGATTTGTTTCGCTTCGTTTGAAACACAGAATTCAGTTTACTTTCACCATCTAATTTTCATGTATATCTAATTTATTGAAAAATTAGAAGACGAATCTAAACAAGTTTTCAAGAATGATTTAAATTACCGTCAATGGATAGAGCCTTTTACACTGGTATGCAAAATTTGAACAGCAATGCAACTTTTAAACAAACAGCCATGAAATAGTAAAGGGATGGTAGCAGTAAATACAAGGAACACAATTCAAATGGCGATTCGTATGCAAATACCAGGTATAAACTATTATAAATGATGCAAGGACACGTAAGACACATGCAGTTAGCGTGAACAATGCAAGAGTAAATATTATATCCTTTCATCTTTTACTATATACATGCAGCTACAATACATTTGTAATATGTCCACATAGAGTTCTCCCCGATGGCAACTTTCAGAAATAAATTTTGAAGTTATTGAATTTAGTAGCCATAGGATTTCCAGGTATAGATCTCCGCTTCTTTAAAAGTAATGTTTGGATAGCAGAGTTCTTTATAGAAAATAAATATGCAACCTACCTGAAGATGTATAGATACTTTGCTTTTAGTAGATAAACGAATCCCAAACTATTTAGTTATTCAATGAAACTCAATCTAATTGAGTTGTCCTGTTTTACATTTAAGTTTAATAATTGCTGGTCATGACACAAAATTACGATACTTATGCATATACCACCAGCTCTCTGGAGAACAGTGCTCCCCACTTCCATAAGGCCAACCCAAAAGAATAAACTAGTCATTTAATCCCCGACCTCGGAAAACGTGTCGAATAAAAGAGGAAAGACGGCGAACCCTGTTCATAGTACGTCTTTGTTATCGCTCTATGAAGACTGCCCCGATGAAAGCAAGGGGAAAACTTATTGAACCCCTTCTTCGCCATGTGTAACCGACACGAAATGAGCGTTCTCCAAAAGGGAAGACTTGGAAAACATAGCTCTGCATTTTAAGAAGATTATATAAATTGTGACGGAACACGGAATTCGATTAAGCCCCACCCCCAAGACTTTGATAGGAAGCACTTATCGTAAAATAGTTCACCTGGAAGGGAATTTCGGAGACCGTTTTCGCCAAGTAGTAGATCCTGGTGCTGTACCAACTGTTAATGTACTCACGGGCAAAGATGGTCTTCTCCATAGGAACTAAAATAATAAAACACATCGTTAGTAATTCTTAGCCTAGCTCTACAGCTTTAGGCTAGATTTAACTTTGAGAGGCAATGCTCTTTCTATTGGACATTATTTTCCATGTAGAAAAATTGGAGTTTTAGATTTTAAAATGCTAAGTTTGTTATTTTGAACAGTCCAACGATCATCTTTTCGGCAAAATTTAACATTTCTTAAAATTTGCTTCTTCTGTTGTTTCTTATCCCACTTGGCTGGCCAAGCCCACGAGCCCATATGGACTCATGATTGAAGGGGAAGGAAGCAGCTTTGTTGTGATTGAGCACCCGTTAGAAGCCTGACTTTGCTACGCTCTTACAGTCAAAAGTTCCGAACCACTACAAACATCCATGGCTAGTATACATATGGTCACCCACCCAGTGACCGCGCCCAATGATGCTTAACTTCGGTGATCTAACGAGAACCGGTGCTTCTATAATAAGTATACTAGTATGCATATAAGTATACTTAATGTACTAGCATACTTGGTATACCAAGCATATATACTTATATTAGAAAAGTAGTATAAGATGTCTACATTCTACAAATTAGTATATTTTCTTTTATATTCTCTTATTCTACGTTCTTAACTTTTTATTTCAGATTCAAGATTTGAGAACAGGAAATTCGAGGCCAACAAAACTAAAAATAGTTCATGCATTTTAAGAAAATTAAGACGAATAGCCTCGATATTCTCAATTCGAACAATTATCGTATCTATGCAGCAAGCATGGAAAAGTCACACTAAGTCAGTCTTCCCTGAAGGAAAAATAACTTTTACAGAAGTAATGAAAATACATTTTCAGATAATAGAGGAGCGAAAAATTCTCCCTAAAAAAAAAAGTTAATTTTTTTTTTTAAAGTCAATTCCTACTTTCCCCCCACTATTGCAGAAAGTCCTTTATAAATAATTTTCATTCATTCTTTTAAGTTTATCTGGCGCCATCTATTGGTAGATATATGCAGCTGAATTCTAAAACAAACTAAAAATTAATTAAATGTAATTACTGAATTAATATTTGAAAAAAAAAAACTGTATTGACATCCAGTGTCATCCACTACAAGTTTAAAAATGTATTTGAACTCGAGTATGAATAAAAAGTGTTTTATGAACGATTGAAAATTTGAACAAGATATATATATATATATGGGAGCTAATAGAAGGAATTGAAAAAGGACTCACAGGTGAGCACAGTGGGCATCATGGCCGTGAAGATGAGGAAGAGGAGCGAGAAAAACAGGAAACCCGAGTTGTTGAAGATCTTGCTGGCGTCATCGCCGATACCGAAGTACAGCATGCCCAGCAGTAAACCCACTACGATGTGGGCGAAGAAACGCAGTTGGGTGGCCATCTGAAAAGAGATTAGATTCATTCTCATTGCATCTACAAATTAAAACAAACTAATTCGGTATTAAATTAGATTTGAGGCATAAAGAATTTAACAAAGAGTAGGGGGCATGTATTTAAACTATAATAGATAATCCTTTATGCAAGAAGTCCTCCCAATAAAATTTCTAAAGGACAGCATCTGGAGGGTCTCGCCCTCTTTTCCTCATTGACAGCAAAAGAAAGATTTCGGGTCTACCATATGCAGGGCCGGATTTTCCTACAGGCTAACTAGGCTTCAGCCTAGGGCCTCAAGATCAAGAGGGACCTATATTCAAATTATTAGCAAAACTAAAATTACACTATTCTAAAAACAGTAAACACTAAATCGAAAATAAGGAGAAATTCTACGCATATGACTGATAAACAAACAAAAAATGTATTGGTTAAGATCAACACGTTCGGCTAATTGGGTCTGTTCATTTGTATATATTAGATTGCACCAGATTGAATGATATACAATTTGATATTTTCTTTTTTGTGATCTGGATTTTGTTTGAATAAAGTTACATTTTTGGTTTAGTTTAAAATTCATAATAATTCATACTAAAACTTTAAATGTGAATTATTATGAAATAAATCTTTCTGAATTGAACTTGTTTTAATCTTCAATGTATTGAATATATTTAATTTGATAGAAAATGATAATTTTTATTGTATATTTTATTTTCGTGGGCAAAGATTATTTGAATTTTGTTTCTTTGTAAATGTTGTGTGTTATGTTTCATTAGTTATTGTTACATGTACTATATAGAGTGCTGAGAATAAATGTCCAAATAAGTGTTCTCTACTTTTTTTGTGCCACATTTTTATAAATATTAATACTAATCACAACATGTTTCATTTAACATATTGATAAATATCACAGTAATGGTATATTTTATTACATCCCTCATGCATTTTACAAACTTAAAAATGGGAGAGCCTCATAAGTGGAATAGCCTAGGGCCTATTTTCATCTAAATCCGGCCCTGACCATACGCATGAGTTCTGTATGAGTTCTGGCCATATATGATATTATAACCTTTAGGAAAAGACAAACTTTTAAGCTTCAAAATCAGACAAGTAAAGAGTTCTGGCTTTTGAGTTGAGCTTGACAAACACAACATGCGCATACAATTCATGAAATATATTATTACATTCCAGAGATAGCAGACAAAAATATTGGATTTGGAGGAAAATGTTTTAATATTATCCAATTGCGTCAAACTGAGATCTTACTGGCAAGAAAAGCCTTGCAAGAACCTTATTTAACATTTTTTTAGTTCATTTTAATTTTTGTAACGTCTAGGTGAAATCTAAAATTTTTTTTTCCTCGCATAATTTCTCCGGGATTTAAGTCTAGGATTTTTAATTTTTTGTTCCATGATGTCCAACTGTTTTTTCTCACGATACTTTGCATTTCGAGATTATATTAAATCGAAGTGGTGGTAGAAGAAAACTTTACAGCTGAATATTTATAATTACGCTGTTTCCTTAATTTTTTTGAGGATCGATTAGTAAATTCCTGAAAGTATCATTTGAGGGAGACATCTTTGAACACATTCTGATCTACATATTTCATTAATCCCCAACAATGAGCCTTGCATAGTTAGAATAAAAATATTTAGTATAATCGTCTCCATATATCAGATTTCTTGTGATCGATGCCCAGCCTATGGCAAGACAATATGCTTTGGGTAATAGAGGTTAAAATGAATATCCGTCTAATCTTCTATCCCATGCAATTACACAAAATTCAACTTCATAGTAATTTATTGTTTTACGATAAAGGCATGTTCACTTGCAGTCGCACTTATTGTGGGAAGTATCAATCCCTGAACAGAAGCTGAACTTTGAAATTAAAGAAAAAAATAATTAAGTTGCGATGGCACGGAGTTTTTATATGATAATTTGAAATAACTGATGACAGGAAAGAAGTTTGATTTTTCAATCGAAAACCTCAATCGTTACACTGCGAATTAATTGAGTAACTATTACAGTTGATACTGGGTCCAACCTCCCAATCATGCAAGTCTTTCTGTGTATTATGTTTTGAAGGCTAATTGAATCATTCAGAAAGGTTCGTTTGCTTGCAATCAAGAGAAATACTTTCTGTTCACATACTATATTGCTTGTACTCGCACATTATTCGTTCACATATTACTCGTTTAATAAGGCTATTTGAACATTTAAGGGCTGAGGAGAGAAGTTCGCAGAGAAAAGTTTGACGCCCTTTAAATTAAACCACAAACTTGTCAAAAGGTAAATCTCCCGACATTGAAAACAAATCTTGCAAATTCAACAACATGCAACATAAATTTTATTACAATCAAAGAAATAAATTTTAACTCGTAGACTATCAGTGGAACTTCCTAGAAGGATTAATTTGTGGTCTTTCAGAAAAAAAATGTCTTGCTCATACTAACCGGTTCCCTGAGCGTACAGATGAGGCTCCTGTACGTCAGCACTTTGAACTGGTTCCATGAACTGGTTGCGTATCCACCGAAGCTGTCTTCCAGTGCGTTTTCCTGAAAGTTGTATAATTTCGGGTTTAAATGTGAAATATTTAATTAGTTTACATTGTCTAGTTTAGATATGCACAATAAATAACCGAAACCTGTTACCTGGATCTGGTTAAACAGTTTATTTTATGTGAAAGGGATCTTTATAAAACACATAATTTTATTCAACGATCGATTTCAAACGATTCTTCCATTGAATGAATAATTATAAAGCACATCGTTTTATTTTTCCCACTAACTATGGAATGTGTTTGATGTACAACATTTTTTAATGGCGCCAAAACGAAATGATGCATTGGAGCTCTAGCGCCATTACAGTATAAACTTCAAAGTATACAGCATTTGATGTCCAGAGGTTAAGCATAATTACTCAATTTGTTTTTGTTTTCTCCACATTTTACTAATTATTAACAAAATTCTTCGAAATTCTTTGGTGCAGGTGAAACATTCCAATCGACATAGTTCAAAATACCTGCACATGCAGCAATTAAAAAAAAAAAAATTTATGTGTACATATAGTTTAGACAGATTTTGTACAATTAATGCGAGAAAGAATGTTGTCAGCTATCAAAGAGGACGAATGATGGCAAAGACCGCAACTGGACATGTTAGCGAAATGAATAATTGGACTGCTGGAATCCCCGCGATCACAAACCGAGGCATTTCCAATTCTGAATGTGTACCAGCTTTTGATTTCAAGACTGACAGAGGTTTCAAATGCGAGAGGTCCAACTTGCTAATTCGGCCGTTAACAAGAGTCACAAAAGTCAGTCCAATATCTGGAAATAACTGCACGAAATCAAAGAAACAGTCGTGCCATAGAACTGGATCAGCCCTCACAGGAATACAAGAGACTATGTACAAGAGACTATGTACAAGAGACTATGTACAAGAGACTCAATTGGTTTGGTCTCTATGAAAGACAACCAATTGTATGCATTCTCTTAATGTCTGCACATAAATGTGCTCGTTTAAACCAGAATTTGGAACATCAGCACGAGAGTTTGGGACATTGGGCACAATATGCTCGGTGACGAATCTCGCTACAGCTCCGACAATGATTCTCTTAAGATATTGACATGGGAAGAATATAGAACTAGTTTTTAATTTGAAAATCATCACTGAAAGACATTTTTAGTCAAGTTGTGGTGCGGTCAAGCATGTTGGACTACCACACAGACTTCCATATCTTTGAGACGGGATCTGATGCTACTAAAAGATACAGAGACGAAGTTCTTGAGATGTATGATCGCCTATTCAGGGAAACTGTTTGTCCAGATTTCATATCCATGGATAAACGTGTCTTGGGACCAAAAGGGACTGATCGGCGACTTCCTCGATACTGAAAATACCTAGAGACTGCTTGATCTTAATCCTATCGAGCATGTGTGGGTATATGCTCTGTAGAAAACTTGCCACCCTTCAACGATTCCCGTGTAAAAGTGAAGATTGCTTTAAAACAAATGTCTAACAAAGTGTGCAATCTTTATTCTTGTACACGAATCTCTGAACAGATCCAGCCAGGAAGTCATTAGCAGATTTTAC